CAATTTTAGGGTCACATCTAGCAGTGCTCAGGGATTATTCCGGTTCTGCACTCAGGAATCACTCCTGGCAGCCCAGGGGGACCCTACGGGATGCCAGGAGTCAAAACTGAGTCAGCTGCACACGGGGCAAGCCCTTACCTGCTGTCTCTCCGACCGTCACTGTCTCTCCGACTGTGACAGCTATTTTTTTTTTTTTTTGGCTTTTTGGGTCACACCTGGTGATGCACAGTGGTTACTCCTGGCTCTTCACTCAGGAATTACTCCTGGCGGTGTTTGGCGGACCATATGGGATGCTGGGAATCGAACCCGGGTCGGCCACGTGCAAGGCAAACGCCCTACCCGCTGTGCTATTGCTCCAGCCCCAGCTATTTTTGTTTTTATCATTTTACGTATGCTAAGCCTTTTACGTTTGCCTCTTCATCTCCCCTCCAACGTGAGCAAAAATTTGCACTGACAAAACTGAAAATCATTCATTCCAGTGTGTGCACTGGTACTCCTGAGCTGGTACCGGTGTACAGACATGGCACTCTGGGACTCTCTCACGACCCATGTAGGGGCATCTGCCACTGTGTCAGAGCCTGCTTGAAGATGGGAATAACTTCTTGTTAGTTTGTTTTGGCTCCATGGCTGGTGGTTCTCAGGATTGCTCCTGGTTCAGTGCTCATGGAAAACTCCTGGCAGGATCTGGTGCTGTCAGGGATGAAGCCCAAGTTGGACACATGTAAAGCAAGTGATCTCTCCAGATGCAAGAAATAACCTTTTTTGTTTTCCGCCTGCTCAAGGATGGTGTGATTCTTTGACCCCAAAATAAACTTCTTGAGAAATCTTGTTTTGGTTTGGTTTTCTTGGTCACACCCATCAATGCTCAGAGCTTACTCCTGGCTCTGTGCTCAGGATTACTTCTGTTTGTGTTCTGGGGCCATATGGGATGCTGGGGATCAAACCCAGGTCAGTTGTGTGCAAGGCAAACACCTTACCCACTGTACTGTCCTTTCAGCCTGTTTCTCTTTTTTTGTTATAGCTTGGGAGTCACACCTGGTGGTGCTCAGGGCTTACTCCTGACTCTGCACTCAGGAATCACTCCTGGCGGGGCTCAAGGGGCCAAATGTGGTGCCGGTGTTTGAATCAGGGTCAGTCACATGCAAGGCAAACTCTCTATGCACTCTTTCTCTCTGCCCCTAGAACAAGCTTCTTGATAAATGACTGCAGCTGTAAGATCTGTAGTTGGTGGAGCGTTTCCACTGCAAATATCTAGTGGCCTTCTAGGACAGCAGGGGAAACGTTAAAGGCATGACTTGCGAGAGAAAGCAGGGGAAGTTCTCAGGAATGATGACCCTTTTGAGGTTTTTCTGTTTGCTTTACTTTAGGGGTCACTCCCAGCGATGCGAAGGGCTTATTCCTGGCCCTATGCTCAGGCATTATTCCTGGTGGTCTCAGGGGAGCATTGTGGGTGCTGCGGTTTAAACCCAGGTAGGCCACGTGTAAGGCAAGACTATCTCTCCGGCACATAATGTTCTTAAATTTCTAAGATTAACTTAGATTTTAGTTTGTTTCATCTTACCCGGTGTAAGCTAATGCTTACTGGAACTGCTATATCTGAATAGACAATAATCCCAAGCGGTGTTTCCAAACTCTTTCAGAATTAGATCTGTGGGCCTGTCCGTTTAATTTGCCAAATAAATGAAGACAAGAGACAAGAGAGCAAGAGAGGTGGTTTTTTTTTGGGGGGGATCACACCCAGCAATGCTCAGGGGTCACTCCTGGCTCTGCACTCAGGAATTACTCTTGGCGGTGCTCGGGGGACCATATGGGATGCTGGGAATCGAACCCAGGTTGGCCACGTGCAAGGCAAACGCAATACTTGCTGTGCTACTGCTCCAGCCCCAAGAGGGGTGGTTTATAGCTGTGGTAGGCCAGTAGACTCGAATCTCATTTTTCCCGGGACCAACCACCTTGAAAATGTTGACCAAATGAATCTTAGCAACAGAATGAGGGATCACCACTGGTAAAATATCCCCAGGCCTGATGTTCTCTGATGCTCCACCAGATGATTCTTTTGTTTCTAAAGACACAAGTCCTTGGGGCTGGGGTAGGGTAGGGCATTTGCCTTGAGCATGGCAGAGCCAGACTCAATCCCCCACATCCCATATGGTCCCCCAAGCCCCGCCAGGCGTAATTCCTGAGTGCAGAGTCTGGAGTACAACCCTGAGCACCACCGGGTATGGCCCCAAAAAATAACAAATAAAAAAATAAAGATACAAGTTGCATAAATGGCTGCATAAATGGATATGCTCAAGCAAAAATCTAAAACGGAATCTTGTGACTGGTTAAAGAAACTTTCGTACATCTACACAATGGAGTACTATGCAGCTGTTAGAAAAGATGAAGTCATGAAATTCATGTACAAGTGGTACAATATGGAAAGTATCATGCTAAGCGAAATGAGTCAGAAAGAGAGGGACAGACATAGAAAGATTGCATTCATCTGGGGAACATAAAGCAACAAAATAGGAGACTAACACCCAAGAATAGCCGAGATAAGTACCAGGAGGATTACTCCATGGCTTTGAGGACAGCCGCACACGCTAGGGGAAAAGGCAGCTCAGATAGAGAAGGGAGCACCAAATAAAGGGTGTTGGGAGGTTCCTCTCAGGATGGGAAACGTGTGATGAGAGTAGACTATAGACCAAACAAGATTGCCACTCAATGTCTCTTTTGCAAACCACAGCACTCAAAAGGAGAGAGATAACAAAAGGGAATGCCCTGCCACAGAGGTAGGGTGGGATGGGGGGATGGGAGGTGAGAGGGATACTGGGACTGGTGGTGGTGAATGGGCACTGGTGGAGGAATGGGTATTTGATCATCGTACAAGTGAAACCCAAGCACAAAAATTTGTAAGTCTACAACTGTACATCACTAATAAAAATTTAAGAAAAAAAGAATCTGTTCTGAGTATTCTTTGGTAAACTGAAGATTATATATATATATATATATATACATATATATATATATATTCATTCCTCAGTTCCATTATTTCCCTAGAAACTTTTCCAGAGAAAACTCTAGAGGGAAGAAGGCAGATAAATGTGAGGCCGAAGTTTAAATCTCTCAATTCTTGGTCTTCGGTTTTGTTTGGGTTTATTATTTGTTTGTTTTGGGTCATGCCCAGCAGTGCTCAGGGGTCTGCACTCCGGGGTCTCTCCTGGTGATGCTGGGGTGTTGTGCGGGGGATGGAGCATGCAGAGCCAGTCACTGAACTTGGGAGCACAAGTCCATCCTCCTGGTGCTCTCTCTGGCTTTCCCCATCTAAACGCTTCTGTTCAGAGCAGCCGTACTGATCACTAGCATTGATTGAATGCTCCACTTTGCACAGTCTGGGTGAATGTGCCAAAGTGTGACTTAATTTCATTCTCATTGTAGTCTTCAATCCTGCTTTTCTTGGGGGGTGGGGGTGCTCTTGGCAGGGGAGTGACCAGGCGGTGCTAGGGATAGAACCCAGAGGGGTGTCGCATGCAAGGCCTGGGTTGTTGGGCATCTTTGGGCATCTCCCTCCCAGCCCTCCTGCTCCTGTTTTCCCTTTGGTTTTATCCTCTGTGCACAGGATAAGCTCTGTGCACAGAGCTTATCCTGGCTCAACGCTCAGGGACCACTCCTCCTTCCGCTCCTGGAACCATACAGGATGCTGAGGATCCAACCCAGACCGGCTCTCGTGCAAGCAAACACCCTCCCCACTGGACTCTCATTGCCCCAGCATCTCCTGTTCCAATCTCTAAGAGCCAGACCAGAGCTAAGCAAAATCTCAACTCCCCGACTCTCTTCCACGAGCCCACCCTGGGGCTGGAAGGCTCAGACTCATCTAAGCCACTCACATGTCCAAAGAAGGCAGGGAGAGACGAAGAGTGATGGGTATTTAATGTCAGAGAGAGACTGTTCATTGGGGCAGGGATGAGGAGACAGTACGGGGGCTGGAGCGATAGCACAGCGGGGAGGGTGTTTGCCTTGCATGCATCTGGGTTCGATTCCCAGCCTCCCATATGGTCCCCCGAGCACCACCAGGAGTAATTCCTGAGTGCATGAGCCAGGAGTAACCCCTGAGCATCACTGGGTGTGATCCCCACCCCCCTAAAAAAAAAGAGCTGGCTGATGGGGCCTGACACGATTGCACTTCCTTTGGGGCTTCCCTCCACCTCCAGGACCGAAGTGACAAATCATGCCCCGGGGCGGCCCCTGGAGGAAGGCGGAGGAAACCCCAGGCCTCTCAGCAAGCCCAGTGATGTTTCAGCACAACCCTGCACGGGGCACCAAGGCTTGGGGTGGGTTTTGGTTTATCTGGTTTTGGAGAGGCCACGACCAGCAGTGCTCAGGGCTGACTCCTAGCTCTGCATCGGGAGTAAGTCCTAGCAGGGCTTGGGGGGCCCTACCGGGTGCCGGGGATTGAACCCTTCCCACTGTATTATCTCTGTGCCCTGGCATACGGGTTGAGTTCCAGCTACTTTCCACGGAACCTCTAGGGCCCAAGAGAGCCGCCCACCCACCCTGTGCACCGCCCCACCCTCCAGGCCAGGTGGGGGACAGCGGAGACCCCATCCCGAGAGGCCCATTTCTCCAGCCCCTTCCTCGGAGAGTGGCGGCCCCGGCTCAGTCCAAACCGCCAACGCTCTCGGACCTCTCTCTTTTTATTCTTTTATTTTTGGTTTTTGGGTCTCACCCGGCGATGCACAGGGGTTCCTCCTGGCTCTGCACTCAGGAATGACTCCTGGCGGTGCTCGGGGGACCCTATGGGATGCTGGGACTCGAACCCGGGCCGGCCGCGTGCAAGGCAGACGCCCTCCCCGCTGTGCTCTCGCTCCAGCCCCCTCCCGGGCCTCTTAAAGACGCGTTTCCCTTCCCGTTTTCTCCTTTTATTCAGTTGTCCTGCACCCCCTCGTTCGTACAAATATAAAATAGATCTATAGAGCTTTCTCTCATATAAACTCTGCGGCGCTGCGGGGGGCCGGTGGCTACTTGCAGACGTACTGGTCGACGACCTCGGTGCACTTCCTGCACTTGACGTAGCAGCACCAGTGGAACTTGCAGTGGCAGCGCTCCACCTGCGTGCTCTTGAACTGGTCGTAGCCGCGGCCGCAGCACATGAGCTCGCAGCCGTCCATGCCCTCCGAGGTCTTGTTGCACAGGCGGCCCTGGGTGCCCAGGGAGCCGGTGGTCTCATTGCGCAGGCAGTAGTCGGGGCTGGGGTCCACGTAGACCAGGTCCTCCGGGGTGGGCGGGTTGAAGCGGCTGTTGACCAGCTCCAGCTTGCCCTTGCGGGTGACGCGCATGGCCGCCGCGCTGTCGTACTTCTCCTTCAGCTGGTCGCCCACCTTGCGGAACTCGGCCAGCTGCAGCCAGCAGGTCTTGAGGCTGCAGGACCCCGAGACACCGTGGCACTTGCAGGCCACGTCTGCCATCTTGTACACAGCCTGGAGGGAAGAGAGAAGGAGTGCGAGGGCCCCGGTCATCCCAGGCAAGGGCCACTGACCAAGGGGCTCCTGTGTGTGCGTCCCGAAGGCTGGGCTGGAGCCAGAACGCAGCATGGGGGCACTTGCCGTCCATCCCCGGCATCCCACACGGTCCCCTGCCCTACCTGAGCACAGAGCCAGGAGGAAGCCCTCAGCACCACTAGGTATGGACCTCCCCCCCAGGCCCCCGAATTCCAAATGACGTGTATCTTCACTAATTGGGAATGAGAGAAGTTGGGTCACACTAGCAGTGCTACGGGACCAGTCCTAGTGTGCTCAGAGGACCATCAAGCTTGGCTTGGCTGCATACAAAGCAACTGCCTCACCCCCCGTGCTAATTCTCTGCCATCCCTTCACTCCCTGCACCCCCTCCCCGTGCATGTTTACCTGTGACTCACATTCCAGGCTCCTCAGATGCATGGATTGAAAGCAGATACATGGATTATCTATTACGTAGAAAACCACCAGGGAAGGAGGACTGGAGCAATAGTTCTGCGGGCAGGACACTAGCTCTGCGTGTGGCTGACCCAGGTTTCTATCCCTGGCATGTCATATGGTCCCCCGAACTCTGCCAGGAGTGACTCCCCCCCCCCCCCCCCCCGCCCCAGCACAGAACCCGGAGTAAACCCTGAGCTCTGTTGGGTGTGGCATAAAAATTAAAAAGTAAAAAAAGAAATAAAGAGACCAGAGACAAGAGGAATGCCAGGCAGATCAGCTGTAGGGCATTATTTGGGGCCTTCCACTCTGCACGACCCATCTCTCATTCCTTAAAACTTGTTGCCATCAATGTCAATTTTACAACCAGGGAAAAGGGCTATTCCTATCTGTGTGTGTGTGCGTGCGTGTGTGTGTGTGTGTGTGTGTGTGTGTGTGTGTGGCATACCTTTTGGGCCACACTGGCTGTGTTCAGATCTTACTTCTGGCTCTGTGCTCAAGGGTCACTCCGGGCAGGCTCAGGGGACCCTGCAGGGCGCCAGGCATTGAATCCAGATTGGCAGCAGGCAAGGCGAGCACCTAAGCCATTCGACTATCTCTCTGATCCCGATGTTTATAGCTAAGCCAAAAGTCTCAGGGTAATGAAAAACCAACAAAATGTGTCCAGATTTTATATGCTAGAAGTCAGAAGAAAGAAGCCAGTTGTGGGGGCTGGAGTGATAGCACAGTGGGTAGGGCATTTGCCTTGCACGTGGCCGACCCGGGTTCAATTCCCAGCATCCCATAGGGTCCCCCGAGCACCGCCAGGAGCAATTCCTGAGTGCATGAGCCAGGAGTAATCCCTGTGCATTGCCGCGTGTGACCCAAAAAAGAAAAAGAAAAAAAAAAAGAAGCCAGTTGTGGGGCCAGAGAGATTCTACTTGGGGACAATACACCAGAGAGGTAGGACACTTGCCTTGCAAAAGGCAGACTGGGAGCACCCCATTCGCTCTCCCAAGCACTGCAGGGAGTGATCCTTGATCACAAAGCCACAAAGCCAGGAGCAAGCCCTGAGCAGTGCCAGGTATGGCCCCAAAACAAACAAACAAAAAATTGAAAAAGGAAAGAAAGAAGCTAACCAGGTTGGGTTGTAACAGAGACCCCGGGCCTGGTCCTGCGAGCGTCTGGCTCCCGACACTGCTGGCTCCCAGAGGTCTTCGCAGTTCCTCTTTCTGGCTTAACCTTTGGTCATTAACGTCCAGAGGGCCATCAGGACCCTCTCCATCAAACAAGCAAACGCCACCACATCTGGGGCTGGATGGATAGAATGGTGGGCACGGAGTTTGCCTGGCACGCAACTGACTTGGTCCCCAGGTTCCCATATGGTCTCTGAGCAGTGTCAGGAGTGTGAGCTCTGAGTCCAGAACCTGGAGTAAGCCCTGAGCACTGCTGGGTGTGGCCCCAAACAAACACAAACACACACACACACACACAGAGGGGCTGGAGCAATAGTACATCGGGTAGGGCATTTTCCTTGCACGCGGCTGACCCGGGTTTGATTCCCAGCATCCCATAGGGTCCCCCGGGCGTCACCAGGAGTAATTCCTGAGTGTGTGAGCCAGGAGTAACCCCTGCGCATCGCCAGGTATAACCTGCCCCCCAAAAAAAACAAAAGAAACAAACAACCCCCCACATTTGTATGAAGCCCCAGCACTGTACCCAAACTACACCAAAACCCAGATCAGAAACAAATGTCACACGTGAGACTCTAGCACACACACACACACACACACACACACACACACACACACACACAAAATCCATCTGCAAGCAAGAGTGCTTTCTGCTACCCCAAACACCCCAAACACTCACCCATTGGAGTGGGGAGAGGTGAGACTTGGGTGGCAACCACTGGGCCCATCTCACGGGACTGGTTGATCTGAAAGCAAGTTCACTTCGGAAGTCGCAAGCACCACCATGGGGAATGACCTGCACTTGGGCTCTCCCAAATTAAAAGTGAAACACAAGAGAGGCCCAGAAAGCTGCTGACAGAGTTTCCCGATGAAAGCGGCCTGATGCCCGTGGCCAAGAGCCCTGGCAACCGGCCCAGAAGTGCAGATGGCAGATCAAAATGCAGGCGGGCGGCGGCACATTTCCTTACGCCCGCCCGTCGCCCGTCGCTATTGTCCCCAACTGAGTCAGGACTCATTTTTCAAGGGGTTCTCTGCTTTCTTTTCAAGAGTCCCCAGATCCTGTCTTTATGCAGCGCTCTGCAGAGGAACTGCAGGTGCAAAGATGAGAGCTTAAGCACGACATCAGCTCAGATTACTGCTATTGTCAAAATTCTTCCTGCTTGTTACAGGGCTTTTTTTTGGTTTTGTTTTGTTTTTATCCTGGCATGGAATCATCCCACTAGTTTGATGGTGGGGAAATGAAGCTTCTGGAAGGGCCCAGTCACTTCCTCAAGGCCACCCTGAAGGCCGCCCCACTGACTCATCCGCGGCCGAGTTCCTACCTTAGGGCTTGGGGCTTAACAGCAGCTTAGGTGGAGAAGGCGGGCAAGGCCCCTCCCGGGGCTAACAGCGCCAGCATGCGGCTGGCAGCTCCAGGCCCAGACATAAAGGACCCCACACTCCATTCCAGCAGGCACTTCAAAGACAGCTTTGCAATTAGCCTCCTAAACAAACGCCCCTGCTCCAAGCTGGAGCCCACATTCCTCTAGAAATGGAGCTCGGCTTGGAGAGGGGTGGCCGGCATCTGCCGGGCGCAGGAAGCATTAAGGCCCTAATGCTGTGTGCCAAGTGAGGGCTGGATAAGCATCTCCCAGGAGCAAACACTTAGGTGATCTGGGGAAGGGAAGCCAAGGCAAGACCACTCAGAACACAGGCAAGCATTTCAGTAAAAAGACAAAAAACAAAAACACAACTGCAAAAGGAAACGTGCCATGAGTCTCACTCAGGACCACCTCCTTTCCTCCGTTCCCCCTGGGAAGATATGGGAGAGACACTCTTGTAGGTATTGTCTTTTTTTTTTTTTTGCTTGTTTTGGGGTATTTGCAGACAGGTCACCAGGACTGCACTCAGCACTGCAGGGGGCAATGTTGAACTCAGGGCCTCAAATGCCCATGCTAGGCTTTTGCTCCAGCACTTGGGCTAGACCCCCAGTCCCCCTGTTGGCTAAATATTTTGTTATTGATAGGACATAAAGTGTTTCTCTCTCTCTCTCTCTCTCTCTCTCTCTCTCTCTCTCTCTCTCTCTCTCTCCCCACCTCCCGTGTCCAAAGACTCACCCCATACATTTGCCTGAGGCTGAGCTGGGCTCGATTCCTCCGCCCCTCTCGGAGAGCCCCGCAAGCTACTGGGAAGAGCCTGGCAAGCTACCCGTGACATACGCCAAATACAGTAAGAACAAGTCTCAAAAAAATGGAGACGTTACTGAGCCCGCTCGAGCAAATCGATGAACAACGGGAGGACAGTGCTACGGTGCTGTCTTTTTCGGTGGTGGTGAGGGGCGGGGGCTACATTTTGCCTCCCAGCTGGTCCACTCTCCTCCCTTGGCTGTCTGAGGGGCTGAGGAGCCGGTGACAGCAGTGTCACTAGAATAGGCGGCTTTCATCTGGACGAGGGATACAGGGCAATGACCTGCCCCCAACTGGCCCCTCTGGCTGCCAGTCATCAACACAGGCTGCCGGAAACTCACAGGGGCCAAGAGAAATGTCCTGCCAAGTCAGCCCAAGTGGCCCTCCGTGTGCGACCTGCCACTCACTGGCTATAGTGTCACAGACGAATCTGGGTCCTGGGGCTGGGGGTGGGGGGAACGTTTTTTCTCGGGGCCTCCGGGGAATCTTCGGGAACGTGGGGCGGGGATGGAGGGGTAGGTATCTCTGGCTTCAGATGGTGATGGACGGCTTAGGTCTGCTCCTTAGCGAGCTGGTCAAAAGCAGGCAGGGAATTCTCAGTGGGAAAGGGGGGTGCAGGGGAGATCAAGGGCTGGGGAGGGGAGGGGGGAGGGGAGGGGAGGGGGGAGGGGAGGGGAGGGGGGAGGGGAGGGAGATAAGGCCACAGCAACAAGCAAACAATTAAGGGCCATAAAATGAGGAGCCAGCAGAAGAGGGGTCAAGACTGACTGAAAGAGGGGTGAGTAGGACGGGTGCCTAGTTAGTTGCCAGAGAGCCCCAGTTCCCTCCTTCCAGGAAGCTGAACTCCTGGAGGGAATACGGAGCCTTTGTCTGCATGCTACAGTGCTCACCCAAGCAAAGGGTAACTTTGGGGTGTTGGAAAAGGGGAGATGGGGGGTCCTGTCCTCAGAGGCCAGTAACGCTCCCTCAAAAAAAGTGTCCAGGGGCTGGAGCAATAGCACGGCGGGGAGGGCATTTGCCTTGCATGCAGCCGACCTGAGTTCGATTCCCAGCATCCCATATGGTCCCCTGAGCACTGCCAGAAGTGATTCCTGAGAGCATTCCTGTGCATCACCGGGCATGACCCAAAAAGAAAAGAAAAGTAATTAAAAAAAAAGTGTTAATTGCTCCTCAATGCAGCTCAGAGGCTGTTGGTAGGCAGGACAGAATTTAAGGACCAGGTAAATTTAAGATGAACTGGGTTGTTGCAAATTAATTTGCACAGTGGGAGGATAAAGTTGAGATCCTTTTTTTTTTCCTTTTTGAAACTAACCTTGCTAATGGTTAGATATCCCCAAACTGGCATTTGGTCTCCCAAGCAGAGAGGAAGACAGAAGACTCTGGGGGCTGGGGATTGTGGGGGAGACTGAGGCAGCATCATGGATGCCCGCAGAGTGAAAGTTTCCTTAAGATACTTTTGACCTCTGCCCAGGGATTTTTTGTTGTTTTGTGGGTTTTTTTTGGGGGGGGGGGATTTGGGGCCACATCTGGCAGTGCTCAGGAGTTACTCCTGGCTCTGCACTCAGGAATTATGGGCAGTGCTTGGGGGACCTGGGGTGCCGGGGATCAAACCTGGGTTGGCCGCGTGCAAGGTAAAAGCCCACCCCACTGTACTATCACTCTGGCCCCTCTTCCCAGGCTTCTACCGTAATAATCACAGATCAAAGCAAGACCAGAGGCTTAGTCACAGATCAAGCCCCCACGCCCAGACACACTCACACATGCACCTACACACACCTCCTCAGACCCGGCAAAAACAGCCTCTGAACAGGGGCTACGTAAAAAAGCTACTGAGAGTGTCTTAAGACAAAAGAGAAAGACAAATCCAGTTGGTTGTTATTGCTATATGCTTGGGGACCACACCTGGAAGTGCTCAGGGCTTACTTCAGTCCTGGAGCTCAGGGAACACTCCTGGCTAGGACTGGGGGACCATTTGGGGTGCTGAGGATCAAAGCCAGGTCAGATGCATGTGAGGCAAACTCCCTGCCCGCTGTACTTCCACTCCAGCCTGCACCTTCTCGTTTTGACTTCGTTGCTCTGGCTTCCTTGCTACGGATGATGCGGAACATATGCCAGAGCTCCAGGAGGCTCAGCACCCCGAGACCCTGGCCCATGCAAGACACCTGCAGTTCCCTTCATCAGCTACTGCCCCTCCATCAGTTCCTTTTTGCTGACAAATAAGCATGTTTCTAGAAATATATCTGTCTTCCGTTACCCAAACACTAACAAACCTGTTTTTTGCTTGTGTGTTTGTGTGTTTGGGGGCTACACCAGCTGTTCTCAGGGCTTAACCCGACTGTGAGCTCAGGATCACTCCTAGCAGAGCTCGAGGGACCATGGAGGGTGCCGGAGACTAAGCCAGGTTAGCCACTTGCGAGGCAGGTACCCGATAGATCCGCTGTACTATCGCTCCAGTCCTAGCAATTTCTCTTTTGATGGGGAGCAGAGGCTGAAGCTACACTTGGCGGTCGGTGCTCAGGGCTTACTCCTAGTTCTGTGCTCAGGGATCACTTCTCGTAGTGCTTGGGGGACCATCTGTGGTGCTGGGGACTGAACAAGGGTCAGCCACATTCAAGACTTTATCCCCTGTAGTATCTCTCCGACCCCAATTTAATTTTTAAGACATTGTCATTTGTGGACCAGAGATATGGCTGAGCTAAATCACTTGAGTTGTATGTGCATGTATATCTTGGGCTGGAGAGGAAGGAAGGGGTGGAGGGAAGGAGAAACGAAGGAAGGAGGAAGGAAGGGAGGGAGGGAGGAAGGAAGGAAGGAAGGAGGGAGGGAGGGAGGGAGGGAAGGAGGAAGGAAAGAAGGGAGGAAGGGAGGAAGAAAGGGAAAGGAAAGGGAAGGAAGGAAGGGGAAGGAAGGAAGGAAGGAAGGAAGGAAGGAAGGAAGGAAGAAGGGAGGGAGGGAGGGAGAGAAGGAGGAAGGAAAGAAGGGAGGAAGAAAGGGGAAGGAAAGGGAAGGAAGGAAGGGGAAGGAAGGAAGAAGGAAGGAAGGAAGGAAGGAAGGAGGGAAGGAAGGAGGGAAGGAGGAAAGGAAGGAGGGAAGGAAGGAAGGAAGGGGAAGGAAGGAAGAAGGAAGGAAGGAGGGAGGGAGGAAGGAAAGAAGGGAAGGGAGGAAGAAAGGGGAAGGAAAGGGAAGGAAGGAAGGGGAAGGAAGGAAGGAAGGAAGGAAGGAAGGAGGGAGGGAGGGAGGGAGGGAGGGAGGAAGGAAGGAAGGAGGGAGGGAGGGAGGGAGGGAGGAAGGAAGGAAGGAAGGAAGGAGGGAGGGAGGGAGGGAGGGAGGGAGGAAGGGAGAAGGAAGGAGGGAGGAAGGAAAAGGAGGGAAGAAGGAGGGAGGGAAGGAAGGAAGGAAGGAAGGAAGGAAGGAAGGAAGGAGGGAGGGAGGGAGGGAGGGAAGGAGGAAGGAAAGAAGGGAGGAAGGGAGGAAGAAAGGGAAAGGAAAGGGAAGGAAGGAAGGGGAAGGAAGGAAGGAAGGAAGGAAGGAAGGAAGGAAGAAGGGAGGGAGGGAGGGAGAGAAGGAGGAAGGAAAGAAGGGAGGAAGAAAGGGGAAGGAAAGGGAAGGAAGGAAGGGGAAGGAAGGAAGAAGGAAGGAAGGAAGGAAGGAAGGAGGGAAGGAAGGAGGGAAGGAGGAAAGGAAGGAGGGAAGGAAGGAAGGAAGGGGAAGGAAGGAAGGAAGGAAGGAAGGAAGGAGGGAGGGAGGAAGGAAAGAAGGGAAGGGAGGAAGAAAGGGGAAGGAAAGGGAAGGAAGGAAGGGGAAGGAAGGAAGGAAGGAAGGAGGGAGGGAGGGAGGGAGGGAGAAAGGAAGGAAGGAGGGAGGGAGGGAGGGAGGGAGGGAGGAAGGAAGGAAGGAAGGAAGGAAGGAGGGAGGGAGGGAGGGAGGGAGGGAGGAAAGAAGGGAAGGGAGGAAGAAAGGGGAAGGAAAGGGAAGGAAGGAAGGGGAAGGAAGGAAGGAAGGAAGGAAGGAAGGAAGGAAGGAAGGAAGGAAGGAAGGAAGGAAGGAAAGAAGGAGGGAGGGAGGGAGGGAGGGAGGGAGGGAGGGAGGAGCGAGCAGCCACTCTCCAGTTCTGAAGGCTCATCTAAGATCTCAGTACAGCAGCTTGCCTGGTCCCTGGGTCCGCTGGCTGACACAGACCCGAGTGGGCAGCACTCACGGAGGAAGTCACCGTTGCTCGCGACTGCCCTCCGGTCCGAGCCCTCGCCCGGAGCGACCCCCAGCAGCCACAGGCGACCCCCAAGCCAAAGAGGCCGCGCCTGGCGGGCGGCCGCGCCTCCCGGACAGGGGTCCGGAGGGAGGCCCCCGCTCGAGGACGCCCGCTTACCCTGCGGCCCGCCTCGTTGTTCTGCAGGTTCATGAGCACGCGGCCCTGCTCCTCGGACCCTCTGGCGAAGTTCTTCTCCCGCTCGCGGGCGTCCACGAACTCCTTGGCGAAGCGGTAGCCGTACTCGACGTTGTCGCCGCAGCCGCCCCACAGCCAGTCCCGGGGCAGGTCCCGGGGCCGCGCGGCCCGGCTGCAGCCGCACGTGGACAGCTCGCCCTCGCGGCACGCGCGGCTGACGGCGTGGACCACCCCGGCCGCGCTCACGGCGTAGGCGAAGGCCGTCTCCCGGCTGCCTGCAAGGCAAGGCGCGGTCAGCTCCGCGCCCACGTCGCCGGGCCCAGGGGCTGCGGCCTGGAAGCTTCTCTCTTTGCCCGCCCCTTGCTCTTGGGGTCACACCCCGCGATGCTCAGGACTCAGCAATGACTCCTGGCGTGCTCAGGGGACCCCATGGGATGCTGGGGATCGAACTCGGGCCAGCAGCGTGCAAGGCAAACGCCCAACTTGCTGGACTATCCTTCAGCCTCCCAGAATCTTCTTTTGATCAGGAGCTGAAACTCCGTTCCTTGGCCCTAGAACACACGTTCAGAACGAAGTCCTGGCCTGCACTCACACCCATCCCCTAGAGCGAGAAATCATGCCCAAAGCAGGACTCGAACCGGACACCAACTGCTCCCCACAGAACCAGCCCTCCCTGCCAGAGCGCACCCGTCCATCTTCTTTACAGGTGCCACTTTCTTGCCAGTCAGTGGCCGAGGTGAGGAATAGAATGGGAATTAGAATTCTAGCATCTAGAATTTTCCTAGCTGCTTCTCTCTGCCTGTCACAGGGCCCAGCCCACCTCCTAACCTGACAGACCCAGGGAGCCACGTGTTTGGGGAAGCCGGTCCTCTCTCTCTCTAAAGAGCCACATCCGGGGGCTGGAGAGACAGTACAGCCGCTTGGGCACTTCTCTTGTACACAGCCAACCCAGTTTGATCCCCAACATCCCACAGGGTCCCCCCAAGTCCCACTAGGAGGACTCCCTGAGCACAGAGCCAGGAGTAAGCTATAAATAAGCACCGCTGGGTGTGTCTCAAAGGGGAAAATAAATAAGATGTAAAATGAAGGTCACTTCCAGTCAAAAGTCCAAAGTGTTGAACCACTTAAAAACACATAAGCGGACAGACTTCTACTTCCAATGGAAATGTTTTTGAAAAATAACACTCAGTCACCAGGGAAATCTAAGTCAGAAGCAAGATGAGATACCACTTCGCACCCACAGGATGGCCGGAATGGAAAAGGCATTATTGAATAACCAGTTGGTGAGGGTATGGAAAAACTGGAAGCCTCATGTACTGCTCGTGGGAATGTTCGACAGCACAGCTGTTTTGAAAAAGAGTCTGGCAGCTTCTCAAAAGGTTAAGCATAGCATTAACATATGACCCAAAAATCCACTCCAAGGGATAAATGAAAACATATGTCCACCCAAAAACTTGCACGTGAACCATCATTCATTGCATGGTTTGCAATAGCCAAAATGAGTAGAATCAACATCAGCACGTGTCTATCAGCATGTGCGTGGGTAAATAAAATGTGGTATGACCCAGGTGGTGGAATACTATTCAGCCATAAAAAGTAACCAAGAATGGGGCCAGCGAGATGGCTCCAAGGGCTGGAGAAGGTGCTACGCAGGTGTGGGCTGTGGTCCTGACTTTGTCCCTGGCGCTGCAGAATCTCTTGGGCACTACTGTAGGGATGCCCCAACTCTGAACCAGAAGAATCAGGAGTTTTAAGCACTTGAGCACTCCTGGTGAGTACTACCCCGCCCTCCGCAAAAAAAAAAAGGGGGGGGGGGGACCAAGCAAAAACATAATAAAGCACAACATGGAAAACCTTTGGAATGGTGGCCCTAAGAGAGCCACTTAGCTTTTGATTCCATACTGAATGGAATACAACAGGTTACATGTTGGCCAGGACAGATAGCACAGCAGGTAGGGCATATGCCTTGCAAGAGGCTGGCCCACAACCAATGAAATAAGTCACAAAGTTTCTTCTTTGGCCAATAGAATCACCTTTTCAATCATATATGTATATTTAATATTTTACTGTGTTGCTTGTTATTTTGTTGAAAAAATGAAAATAATTTTTACCAAGACAGTGGTTTCTATTTTAGACGGAGCTGCTTTTGATATGTCTATTCTGTTAGGAGGCCTTTATAGTGCCATTTATCTCTGGAGTTGTGTTCATCGAGAGGTTATAAAAACACTAAATATACTTTTCGTAATTTGATTTAAAATAAACATAACTATGGCTTCCAAAACGAAAAAAAAAAGAGGCTGACCCAGGTCCATGTCCATCTCCAGCATTATTCATGGTCCCACCTAGGAGTGGTCCCTGAGCACAGAGCTCAGAGGAAGCCGTGAGCACCTCTGGGTGTGGCCCCAAAACAAACAATTTTAAATGCCATGTATTATATGGTTCCATTTACATAAAATGTTCATAATATGAAAATTCACAGGGACAGAGAGATTCAGAGATTAATGATTATCTGGAGCTTGAGGAGGAGAAAAGGGTTGGAGAGTGAGTTCTAATGAGTATGCAGTTTCTTTAGAGTCATGAACACGGTCTGCAATTAGGCAGTGAAGACAGATGGTAGCACAATCTGGCAACTCTCCAGTGAACTATACACTTTGAAACAGTGAACCTGGGGGCTGGAAAAAGGGCAGTGGGCACCTGCTTTGCATGAGGCTGACCCGAGTTCGATCCCTGGCATCCCATATGGTCCCAGGAGCACCACCAGGAGTAATCCCTGAGCATTGCCAGGCATGGCCCAAAAACAAAACAAAACAAAACAGACAAATAAAAAACAGTCAAGCTGGGGGCAGCAAGACAGGACAGCAGGTAGGGCATTTTCCTTGCACATGGCTAATACTAGGCAACAAATCATAGAGGCATATTCGATATGCCAAAAACAGTAACAATAACGGGTCTCATTCCCCTGACCCTGAAAGAGCCTCCAATATGGCAGCGTTGGGAAGGACGAGTAAGGAGAGGCTGCTAAAATCTCAGGGCTGGGGCAAATGGAGACGTTACTGGTGCCTGCTCGAGTAAATTGATGAACAATGGGATGACAGTGATACAGTGATGGCTAATACATATTCAATACTGGGCACCCCATATGGTTCCCTCAGAACTACCACGAATGATCCCTGAATGGAGGGCCAAGAATAAGCCCTGAGTGTGGTGTGGTCCAAAAACCAAAACACAAACAGAACAGTGAACCATCTGGCCGGTGAAGCACCCTGCAATAACATTGTTTAAAGAAGATAAGAAATAGTTTCTAACCTAACTGCCAATATTCCCTTTCTAAGGATAAAACACACCATGGGCCTATTCAGATTCTCCCCTTAAATGTTTCTTCACTCTCTTCACTCTTACTCATTTACATTTGTAGGGTTTAGCTATTTCATCTAAATCATAAATGTTTTAGCAAAGAATTATTCATGATATTAAATTTAAATTTTTATATACCTATAAAAAAGAACAAGTTTTTGAAAAAAAAAAGTTCAACCTGCTTTATGATTTGTGGAATTCCAGTTTAGCCCATATATCTGTTGATGTCACCAACTCCACAATTTAAAAAAATGTGATCTATCCCAAATATCCGTGAACAAAGAGACATAGTAAGGGAACAGCAAACAGCCAATGTCATCAGAACTGAAGATTTTGTCTAGGGGCAAAAGGAGTGAAAGTACCATGAGAAGGTCGCTTGCCTAGTGCATGGCAGACCCTGGCTTGATCCCCGGCACCCCATATAGTTCCGTCAGGAGTGATGCCTGAGCAAAAAGCCAGAGCACCACTGGATGTGGCTACCCCACAAAAAAGATTTATATATAGATCTGATCTATAGAATCTACATATAGACATAGAATCTATATATAGATATAGAATCTAGATATAGATCTGATCTATAGATCTATAGAACTGAGCTTACAAGGGGGTAGGTGTGAGGGGTACTTGGGACAGCGATAAACAAGAAGAGTCTCTCCGGTGGTGGGTGTGGTACTGGAATGACAATACTGTAAATCCCAGAACCTAAATAAAAATGGTTTAAAAGGGGCTGGAGCAATAGCACAGTGGGTAGGGCATTTGCCTTGCATGCGGCCAACCTGAGTTCGATTCCCAGCATCTCATAGAGTAATTCCTGAGTGCATGAGCCAGGAGCAACCCCTGTGCTTCGCCAGGCATGACCCAAAAAGAAAAAAAGGGTTTAAAAAACTTAAAAAAAAAAAGGTAAAGGTAAAGGTAAAGTCCCTCCCATTGATCGTCGATTTGCTCGAGCGGGCCCAGTAACGTCTCCATTGGAGACTTTGTTGTTACTGTGTCTGGCATATCGAATACTCTCGGCAGCTTGCCGGGCTCTCCGAGAGGGGCGGAGGAATCGAACTCGGGTCGGCCATGTTGGCCGCTTGTAAGGCGAACACCCTACCGCTGTGCTAAAAAAAAAAAAAAAAAAAAAAAAAAAAGAAATGGTAGTATAGAAAACACAACTCCAAAAAAAAAAAAAGAGGAAGTCTTTGTTTGCTGCCAATTGACTAGAAATGAAGGGCAGCCTGTGAAGTTAGTCAGAGGGAGAACAAAAACCAGGTTCTGGTTTATAGAGAAGCAAAATAAGGGGATGGACAATATTAAAAGAGGTCAAACCCTGGGCCTTTGACTGCACGACCGTGGTAAGCATGGCAGGCAGAGAGCACTGAGGGAAGAGGAGGCAGACTAGAAATGACCAGGACGATGGGGGAGGGTCCTGGGTCCTACAGTGGTGGTGAAGGTATAGTTACTGTTTATTAAAACCATGAAAATATTCACGGCTCAAAAACCATGTTACCTAAACTACAGAAAAATTAAAAAGAAGTACCGGGGGCCAGAATGATAGCACAGTGGGTAGGGCGTTTGCCTTGCACACAAGCTACTCAGGTTCAATCCCGGGCATCCCATATGGTCCCCCAAGCACTGCCAAGAGTGATTCCTGAGTTCAGAGCCAGGAGTAACCCCTGAGCATCGCCAAGTGTGCGACCCACTCCGCCACCAAAACATAAATTAATCAATTAAAAAAGAAAGAAATACTATGCATATGGAACGAAAGAAAAGGGGGTGGGTCCTAACAGACGCTGATGGCGATCCTAAAACCTAAAACCTATAACCAGAGCGAACCCTTTCACACCGCAGGCCCCGACTCTAGAAAGCTAGAGTTTTCCTGTTTGGCCAGCCATAAAGGACAGCAGACTGCCACCACTAAGAAGTCTAGGTCATGGGCCACAGTGATAGCACAGTGGATAGGGCGTTTACCTTGCACGCGGCCGACCCAACTTCAATTCCCGGCATCACATATGGTCCCCTAAGAAACTGCCAGGAGTAATTCCTGAGTGCAGAGTCAGGGGTAGCCCCTGAGCATCGCTGGGTGTGACCCAAAAAGCAAAAAAAGAAGAAAAAACAACAACAAACAAAACTCTTGGTCAGTGTTCCCCAAAGCAGTAACGCAGCAGAGGCTGGGCCGGAGGTGGGAGCGCGCTGGACCCATCCCAGGGGCAGCTGGGAGCTTTCTGTTTGTTCCACTGAAAAAGGAAGATTTCCGGGAGGGCATGGAGTAATTTTTTTTCTGGTAGGCCAACTAGGCTTGTCTGATTTGCTTGTTTTGGGGCTACACCGGGCAGTGTTGAAGGACTCCTGGTGGGCTCGGGGATTGAACCTGGTTTGGCCACGTGCAAGACAAGCGCCTTAACCACTGCACCATCTCTCCAGCCATCAGAACGTCCGTTTTTCTCAGGACTCAGTGTCTGGTCAGATGTGGATTGGAGAAAGAAAAAGCTAGGACCAGAACTGAGGTGCTGGCCACGGGGTGCAGGGAGCAAGGTGTCTCTGGCCTGCGGTGTCAGGTGTCCAAGTGAACAGCTAGGATGTGCCATGAAAGAGGCCCTTAAGGAGGACACCTGGACCCAGAGCATGGAAGATGCCCCGAATTCTCCTTCAGTGCAGTTTCCACCCTCCCGGCCAGGAAGAAGGCACCAAAGCTGCCACCTGGATTTAACCACATCCGAGTTCCTTCAAGCATTTCCCTTAGAAAATCAGGCTGGATTTTAATTTTGTGCTAGCTGTTGCTGCTGTTTGGGGGTCATACTCAGTGGTACTCAGGGATCACTCCTGGTGGGGGTTGAGGGACCTATGTGGGGCCAGGGATCAAACACGGATTGGCTGTGTGCAAGGCGAGAACCTTACCTAACCCTTGCAATATCTCTGCAGTCTGGCCATTATTATGATTTTTTTCCCGGCTTTTCATCCTGTCTTTTTAAATAGGTCTAGTCACCAGAAGGTTCTTCCTATATTAAGCGGAGCTATCCCCCCTTATAACTTCTGCCTGCTGGAGTTCCCCCATCTCATCCTCTTCCCACTCGACAGCCTCCGGTATGTGAAAACAACTAGTAAGCCTTTTATGTCTTCTCTTTTCCAAGTGACATATGCCTGATTTCTCCTTCCTCTCCTCAGCAAATGTGCCTTGCAGAGCTCAACGGCTGCTCCTGGACTGGGCTTTTTGGGTAGCGAGCTGCAGCTGAGTCCGACTCAGCACCCCAGCCCCTCTCGGTGGCTGCACGGCTCGGTCTGCTCTCGGTGAACCGGCTGGAGCGCCCACTCTGATCTCTGGACTGCGGGCATCACAGTGAGCGTGGCAGGCTCTGCAGGGCTGTGGAGCACCTGGGGTGGAGCATCTGGGGTGTTCTGCCAGGGCTGTCAGCAAGCAAAATTTTTTTCTTGGGGGGGGGCTGGGTAGGATTGGGCGACACCCAGTGGTGCTCAGGGGTTACTCCTGGCTCTGGAGTCAGGAATCATTCCTGGCAGTGCTTGGGGGAGCCCATGGGACGCCGGGATCGACCCCCAGTCAGCTGGAAGCAAGGCAAGGACTCCAACCCCTCAGCAATGAGACTGAACCCGGGCTTCTGGATCTGCAACGTAGAGGGTTTCTCTATCTGTGAAACACTTTTGTTGCTGTTTCTTTGGGGGGCCAAACCCAGCTATGTTTAGGGCTTACTCCAGGCTGGACTCAGAGCACTTTACGGGGTGCCCCGGACCGGACCAGGTCAGCTGCCTTGGAGGCAAACACCTTAGCCCTATGCTATTGCTCCAGGCCCTGTACGTGAAACAACGTCAAGGGGAAACAAACTATTTCAAGGCTCAAGAAGAAGCCAGCCACGGAGCGACCCAAGAGACTTTGCTTTTTGGCCCTCCCTTAAGAGCAAGGCCGTGAAAGAAGTAAGTCAGTGTCTTTGGTGGGGAGGGGTCCCCACGGTTCCACTCTCCCCTGCAGGGACCTGAGCCAGCTGCTCCCACTGTGCTGCCTGCTGCCCTCTGGTGGTCAACTTCTGCAACAGCTCCCAGAAGGGTCTTGGAAGCCGGCGATTAATAGGCAATTGATAGCAAGAGCTACTCAGGACCCAGGAAGGAACCAGCTTCCCGGGTAAAGCTACAAAACGGAATGGTGGAAACAAGGCAAACAGAAGTGTTCCATTCATAAGAGCTCAGGGCGCAGAGGGAGTCCAGAGGGAGCCTCACGGGGCGTCAGCAAGGGCCGTCTGCACCCAGCCGGGCCCCTAGGATGCCAACCCTCTTTCTTCTACAGTCAGGCCCCGTCTGGGGACCTTCACACAGACCACAGAACACACGCAAGGGACCGAGCCCATTCCAGGCGTGCACCGGCGCCTGGAAAAGACCCGTTCCCTTAAAGCAGTCGTGGATGCCTTGGTCTCTGCCCACCCTATTTTCACCCCCAACCCAGGGCAGAGTCCTGCTAACTGAACTTTCACGGGGAAGAAACAAAGACTTAAAGGATTGGACTTTTGTGGCTGTTTGGGGGCCACACCTGGCAGTGCTCGGGGCTTACACCTGGCTCTGACAGAGGGACCCCTGAGGGTGTCAGGGATCAAACTCTCAGGTTGGCTGTGCGCAAGGCAAGTGTCCTGCCTGCTGCACTATAGGTGGGCCTGACGAAGGAAGTTTGAGGAGAATGGGTCCGTCTCCTGCCCCCAGTCCTGGGGCTGCTCAGGAAGACAGTCAGGAGACCACTCTGGCAAGACCTAGTAGGGCTGCGGGTGTGTCCTGAAGGCAGCAGGAGCTTAGCCTAGAAGGAGGCCCAGTGCAGGTCTGACCCTGTATGCTAAGGTCCCTGTGGGAGAAGGCTCCGACTGCTTAACTTCAGGATATTGCTTTTTTTTGGGGGGGGGAAGGGGTTTTCTAGAAGAATGTGAGACAGGAGAACTCAGCTAACACCTTCCTTTTATGGCCCCTGGGATGAGTCAGAAGAATAGGGCCAGATTTCTCTATTTCTTGCCAGGGAGGGGAGGATTGCATTTCAAAAGGACGTAAAACAATTAGCCACCCCCAATCCCCCATCACACCTCCAGAGAAGTAACAGGGTCACCAGCAGAATCCTTCTCAAGGGCAGGAGTGATTGAGGGGAAGGGACTAGGATGGGGGGGGGGGGGGGCGAGGAGCTCGTCCCTTTCTTCCTTCCTCTGCTCCTTCCCCGCAGTTTCACACACATTCTCCTTCCAGTGAAAATATCAGTGCTGGGCCTGGAGTGATAGCATGGAGGGTAGGGCGTTTGCCTTGCACGCGGCCCACCCGGGTTCCATTCCCAGCATCCCATAGGGTCCCCTGAGCACCGCCAGGGGTAGTTCCTGAGTGCAGAGAGCCAGGAGTAAACCCTGTGTGTATTGCTGGGTGTGACCCAAAAAGCAAAAAAATTAAAAAAAAATAAAATATCAGTGCTGGATCTAGAGGCTAGAGGGGAAGTTTTCTCTTTTTCTCAGGTCCCAGTGGAAGAAGCAAAAGTCCCCCCTCCCCAACACACACACATTCCAGCTAATGACAACTGCTTGAGGCTCTCCAAGGAGGCCTGATGTGGGGCAAATCCCCCAGCTTCACCCAGATACTTCACCCCAAATTCACCGGATGCCACTAAGCAGAGAGTCAGCTGAGTACTCAGATAGGCAATGACTTAGGGTCTCTGCCCACCCTGCCCTCTGAGATGCACGGGACCTCTAAGAAAGCAGAAGCCACCAGGCTGTCCCGGGAGCAGTCCCGGAGGGCACCCTGGCACCCAGGCGGGTCGGCTCAGTGCCCGGGCCTCTTACCTATCTGCATGACTCTCCCGAAGACAGATGTGTCGTCTACCGTGCTGCAGTTCCACCGCCTCTGCCGGAATTGGTACTGGCACTCCTTGATGCCCGTCTTGGCGCCCTCCCCTATGTAGGCCATGTGCTCCTGGTACAGTTGGCACAGTTTCCTCTGGCCGGGAGAGAGCCCCGGAAGCTGACTGCACACAGGCTGGGCACCGATGATAAACATCTCGGGTCTCTGCACTGGGTTCAGAGCTAACGACCTAGAGCAGCAGGGAGTCAGACAACGGAAGGAAGATGGGCAAGTGAGCGAGGGCACGGCGTGGGGGGGGTTGGGGGGGCACAGCATCTCACCCACCCCCATGGCGCTCGAGCACACCCTGGGTGGGTGCCAGGTGGGTTGGAAAGTGAGTGAAGACAAGAGGGCATGTGGGGACGCAGAGGCAAGATCCAACAGTTTGATGCCCAGTGCCGAAGACACAGTTTCAGGGTGATGGACAGAGCACTGCATGCCACGGGGGAGCTTTTGTCTGGAAACCAGCTGGCGAACCAAGGAAGGCGCCCAGACTAGGTGGCTCAGACAGACTCTATTCCAAAAGTGCCTCAGCAGAGGAGTCAGACGTATTTAGAGGCCAGGACCGATTCGTTCTCCTTAGACCAAGGGCAGGGCATGGGAAGGAACGCAGTAAGTTCCCTTTTAATATTTTGTTGTTGTTGTTTGTTTGGGGGCCACAGCCAGTGGTGCTCAGGGTCACTCCTGCCTCTCCACGCAGGAATCACTCTTGGGTGTGCTCAGGGGGATCATCGGAGATGCCAGGGATCGAACCCGGATCAGCTACACGCAAGTTAAGCACCCAACCCACTGTACTATCTCTCGGGCTCTCAAGTCCCTTTTAAAAAAGCCAAACCACCCTCATGCTTCTATTAGTCTGGGCTGGTCTGGTTTGGTTTAAGTTTGGGGCCACACCTGGCTGTGTTCAGGGATGGGATTACTCTAGACTCAGCACTCAGAGATCGCTCCTGGCAGTGCTCAGGGGACTGTATGGGATGCTGAGGCTGGACTCTGGGTCAGCGGCATGCGAGGCAAACGCCCTCCCCACTGTACTCTGGCTCCTTTGCCTTCACCTAGAATCCAGCCTCTGGACTGGGCGATCTATTCTGGATGCTTGTCTCAGCCATCGGGATGGGCTCGGAGGCTCTCTAACCCCGGGAATCAGAAGGTTTGATTTCCCTTCTGCGGGGAAAACTCCGGGGCGGGCGCAGACCTCCGCCTGGGGTTACTGGGAGCTGTGGCCACACAACCAGTGACAGCAGTGGCCAGAGAGGAAAAGCAAGTCACACACGCTCCGTCTGCAAACTAAGCCCGCGAGTCCCACTCTCCCTGCTCCCGCCAGCCAAAGAAAAAAAGGGAAACATTTTTAAAAAATCAATATCCTTATCGATCCAGTTGCAACAAAAGAGCTATTTCGTCCAACCTGGAGGTGTGCACATAGGAAGGGAGAGGAAGGGGGGAGTTTGAGGCGGGGTGATGGTGCAGGGCTCCCGTCCGGGTTTCCAGGAGGCTGGGGTGCACGCACTCACCACCAGGAGCTGGCCTCGGCCGGCAGCGGGGCCCAGCCGGAGAGGAGCAGGGCAGCGGCGGCCAGCAGCAGTCTGGGCATCCTGGGCCTCAGCCCTGCCCAGCGCCCCGGGAAGAGCCCCGGGGCCCACCGCATCCAAAGCCGGCCTTCCTGGAGGAGACAGAAGGGAAAGGGCAGGTCAGCGTGGAAGGACACCAGAGAGGGGAGGGCCCCGGGGAGGGGGGGGGGGAGGTGCACCTAGCCCCACGCCACCCTTCCCCTCCCGCTCCCCTGATCTGCTACCCCCTGGGCGGCGGGTGCCCACCCCACTCCAGAGCGCATCCCTCGGAAAAGGCTGCGGGACCGTCTGGGACCAAGTCCCGCGGGGAACAGAGGTGCTGCACGCAGCGCTGGCAGCCTGGGCGTCCCCTCCGCTGGCCCCCTCCGACCCAGGTGACTCTCCCACCTCCGCCCCCTCCCCCGACGGCCCCAGGAGCCAGCCCGGTCCTGGGGCTCTCCGGGAATAGCGGGGAGGGGGCCGGAGGTCCCTCTCTTGGGGTCCCTCCTGACACACAGCGCGGCCAGGCAGGGGGCGGGCCGGGTGGGCTTCCCGAGGTCCCCACCTGCCCCTCTGCAGCCGGGCACTCTAGGGCCAGCCCGGCGGCTTCTGCCGGGAACATCTGCAGACGCCGGTGCCCGCCCCCGGACCCCCGACACGCCCCTCCAGCTCCCCCACCTCGCGCGGGTCCCCGGCGCCCGCCCCCGGGAGTCCCCGCCGGCGCCCGCCCCCAGGGCTCACCTCGGGGCTCCCGGGAGGGCGTGGCAGAGCCCGGGGGCGTCGGTCCCGGGGCGCCCGGGGGGCTCGGCGCGGCCCGCTCCCCACCCACCCCCTTTTGGCGGGGCGGCCCGGGGTCTCAGCCGGGGCGGGGGCGCCAACAGGCAGGTGTGGGGCCGGGGGGCGGATCAAAGGCGAAGCGCGCCCCAGGCCCTTTGTCATGCAGAGCCGGCTGGGACCTCCGCCCCCGACAGCAGCCCCGCACCCCGCAGACCTCGCGGGCTCGCAGGGAGCCTCCTCCCCCGCCCCGCGACCCCCATAAATCCTCCCATCCCTGCGGCGGGAGGGCGGTGAGTGCCCCGCTGGAACCGCGAGAGATGCCGCAGATAGGCTGGCACCAGGAGCTAATGGCTTTATGGAGGGGAGGGGACCAGGCCCAGGGCCGGGAGGGCCGGAGAAAGGCTTCAAAGCGGCGGTCTCCTTGTCCAAACATCCTCCACTCCACCTTCAGTCCCTCTGGGGCGAGACTCGGCGGCCCCTCCCGGCTCCTCCTTCCTCCCCTCTTCCCCTCCCCCCTGCTCCCTGCACGCACTCCTGATTCCCACGCACCCCCAGAGCGGGGCTCTCCGCTCACCCCTCTTCTCCAGGCTCTGTGAGTCCTGGGTTCGGTCGGGGCCGGGTGGGTGGGGGACCTCGGCGGGAGGGCTTGTTTCTGCACCCACCAACCACCCTGAGCTTCCGGCAAAGTCTCAGCCCCCCCCCCCCCAAAAAAAAAACTATATATATTGGAACAACTTGTGGAAGAAAAGGAAAAGACTGCAGAACGCGCGTGGGTTGTTTCTCTCTGCCTTCCAGATGTGTGGGGCTGGGGGTCCCCCTCCGCCCAACACACACATACACACAACCCCTCTGGCTGGCAGCTGTGGCCACCCCCTAAGCCATCCCAGCACTGGGCCAGCCTGAGGCTGGCGGCCGCCCCCGCAGTGCGGGGAGCAGGGGAGCAGAGCACCGGCTGGCCCTGATCTCACTGGCATGAGCAGGAGGGGAACTTTGGACCCACCGAGCAGGCATCCTTCTGGGAAGCCCAGTCTGAGGCTGGCCGGCAGCGCATTGACGGGGCCAGCACCAGAGAAGGAACTGCGGGATGGAGTAAAAAAAGATCCAGGAAATGGGCTAGAGGCATAGCACAGCAGAGAAGCGCTTGCCTTGATAGCAGCAGACCGGGGTTCGATCCCCGGCCTCCCATATGGTCCCCAGAGCATCGCCAGGGGTGATTTCTGAGTGCAGAGCCAGCATCTGAGCACAGTGCAGCCTGGCGTGGCCCAAGACAAGATCCAGGAAATGTGTTCCATCCTCCAAGTCCTTTGGCTACCTTGGTCATCTCTACAGATCTCCTGAGACTTTCCTTAGAGAACTCCAGGTCCCCAGTGACGCTATGAGCACTCCGGAGTCACTAGGAAGGAAGGTGGGGAGAGGGGCACAAATTCTCAAGTCTAGACCTCTCCAGAGGGTCCGAGACAACTAGGGTGCCCTCCCTTTCCACCGCCTTGCATGCAGCCAACCAGGGTTCAACCCCCAGCATCCCATATGGTCCCCGGAGCTAATTCCTCAGTCACAAATCACAAATCACAATTCGTCGATTGCCTCGAGCAGGCCCCAGTAACGTCTCCTTCATCCTAGCCCTGAGATTATATTCAAGGCTCTTTAGGAGAATGAGACCCATCATTGTTACTGGTATTTGGCATATTGGGTACGCCACGGGGAGTTTGCCAGACTCTGCCGTGTGGGCAGGCTACATTCGGTAACCTGCCAGTTTGTCCAAAGTAGGAATGAGATAATAAGATGTTGCGTGGCCGCAAATGCAGCCGCGCGGTTCCGGGAGCTGGTTTTTAAAGTCTCTGAGTCTTGGCCGCTGATGGGATTACACGGCGCCAGGGGGCCAGTTGGTGGGTGTGACCCCCGCCTACTGGAATTTGGAGGATCTGGGTGGAGGATGCTCGGCCCAAATCCGAGTAGGCGTGGAGATCTCGGCCCCGGAACCCGCGTGGCTTTGTCCCTCTGCCAGTACCTTCATGTGTGCGGAGAGTGGTCTCAGCATGGTGGTGGCTGGTCCTGGAGGTCTTTGGCTGCTGGAGCCCTGGTCGGGGCAGGGAGGAAAGCTCAACCCGCTCCCCTCCAAGGGGCCCCGGCGAGCGAGGACAGTCAGGCGCGGGTACCAATCTGTACCAATCTCAGTACCAATCTGTAATTCCGATTCCTGAGCACGGAGAGCCCAGAGCCAGGAGTAAGCGCTGAGCACTGGCGGGTGTGGCCCCACAACAAAACAAAAGCCAGCTACCCACCTACACCAGATATTTAGGCATCAGCCACTCTCTGGACTATCTGTTCACGCACAGAGAAAGAGAATGAAGGGAACAAGACTAGGAGGAAAGAAAGTGGCAGCAAGAATGGGGGACAAGGTGAGGGTCAGTCAGCCTCCAACCATCTCCCAGCCGGGTGCTGTTCAGAGACCAGACAGGGGCAGGAGGAGGGCGGGACCCCCACCCTGGCTCTGGAGGCCTCCTTGACCCCTCCTGTCCTTCTTCTGCTCTACAGAGACCTGAGGGTGCGTAGTTGAAAACAGGAATTCCAGGTTCTCTTCCTCCTCATTTGGATTTAGTCCCCACTTTTCATTATCCCAGGGGTCCTGGTTCAAACCACCACACATGTCCTCCCAAGATGGAGGAGAAGTCCTGAGGTAAGGGAGGTGGAGGCGAGTACAGGGTCCGAGTGTAAGCAGAGCCAAGTAGGGTGCTTGCCCTCAACGCAGTGGACCTCGGGGGTGCCTTCAATTCCAGCGCCCCATATGACCCCTTGTGCCCTGCCAGGAGTTGTCCCTGAGTGAAGAGCCAGGAGTCAGCCCTGAGCATCACCAAGTACAGCAATCCCCTGGAGAAACCCAAATAAGTGAGTTGACGCCCACCACACTTCTAATCCCGAAAGGGGGTCTTGAGTAGAGCCTGATGACAACCCCGACTGGAGTGTTGACAAGGCTTGTCGGACATCAGCTGTTCAGGGAAACCCGCTTCTTGCATTCAGGTCTGAGTTCCACTTTTCCTTCCGGTTGCCAAGCAGTGGCCAGGTGCTGGCCTCCCACCTGTCCCTGCCCCACAGAGACAACTGTGCCCGAGACACCCAGAACTAAATACCTGGAGAAGCCCCTTCCTGCAGTCACTCAGTTAATTCTTTCTCAGTGACCCTTGAGCTGTGAGATTAGAACAATCCACTTTAGGGGCGGAGAGAGAGCCCAGGGCTCAAGGCCTTTCCTTGCATGCAGACCCAGGTACTGATGGATGGACACCTCAGCCGCCTTTACAAAGGAGAACCACCTCACCTCAAGCAGGGAACCCTGGAGGTGGAGACTCTAGTCGAGGCGGTAGTCTCCGCTGTAGCCTCCGCCCCTCCCCCCAGCCCACCTGATTTACATCACTACAGAGAATGACTTTCCATGCATTCCAGAGCACTTCACAGACACCTGCTAAAATACACTGGGGCAGGGCTGGGGACAATGCAGCCAGGAGGGCGCCGCCCCCCACAAGGTCCATCCAGGTTCCCTGCATCACATATGGTACTCGGAGCACCACCAGGAGTGACTCCTGAGCATTGCTGGGTGTGCCCCGAAACAGAACAAACAAAATGCCAAATAAACATGGGCTCATTCATTCCCTTCCCCGCGTTCAAGTAGGCACGCATCTGCCACTCAGACACGGGAGCAGGAGCTCAGCGGGGCCGGCAGCCTCGGAGCTCTGACACCAGTTTTCCCACCAGACTCATTTGATAGCAGCAACTTTTTTTTTCATTCCTTTGTTTGGTTTGTTTTATGACTTACTCCTGGCTCTATGCCCGGGTATCAGTCCTGGCAGGGCCCGGGGTCCATGTGCGGTGCTGGGGGTTGAACCAGGGTTGGCCACATGCAAGACGATCACCTCCGCATTCCACTATTGCTCCAACCCTCTTTTTTTTTCTTTTTTTTGGTCACACCCAGCGATGCTCAGGGGTTCCTCCTGCCTCTGCACTCAGGAATTCCTGCCCTCCTGGTGGTGCTCGGGGGACCGTATGGGATGCTGGGAATCGAACCCGGGTCAGCTGTGTGCAAGGCAACGTCCTCCCCGCTGTGCTATGGCTCTAGAGCCCCCCTTTCCTTTTCAAAGAGCTCTTTGCCGACTTGAACTTTGCCCACCTCGGTCCATGTTCCCCTCACTGTTTTGTTCTGTTTCAGGGCTGCACCTGACTGTTGCGTTTGGCGATCACTCCTGGTGGTGCTTGGGGAAGCATATGGGATGTCAGGGACAGACCCTGGTCAGCGTGTGCA